AATTTTTATTTTTTTTATTTCAAGGTAAGAAATGGCTAGTTGAAGTTGCATCGTCTTCAATGCGGTTGTTTCACCGCGAGCAACTCTAGCTCTGTTTTGGGCATGGTTTAGTTTGCGATGTAAAATAATATATATATTAAAATAATAATACTTGATTAATTATTTGGGGTAAAGATAGCACTTATTCTCCTACCGCGCCCTCTAGTGACGATATGTTCACGTGACGTAAAAATGAATTGGATAGGTGTATGTAGAGTAGTTCATAACGACTACTCGGTTTAGTTGTGTAGTCAATCGTCGTGTGAATATAGCAATATTTCAATGACATTTGTCAATAACGAACGACTACAAATCAAATCAATGATGACATCGTGTACGGATTTCTATTTTCGTCACAGAGGTTATTCTTCGCTAGAGGGCGCTTGTCTGACGTCAACATAACGTAGGAGTGTAAGCAATATTGTTCAAATCCGACGTTTAAATGAATGACTGTGTTGTGCAGTCGGCTTGCTCAATAAAATGTACAAAATCTCTCGAAAACTTATCTACAGATTAAACAATATCGCCGCCGAGAATGACCATTCTGTCACCCGTGTGCGTCACCAACTTCTCTGGTCGCTTGAGGGCAAGACTTAAAAGAAAGGTCACGAGGTATTTTTGACTTGAGAAATGATTAATGGATGATAAAACTAAAATCAACAAATTCACTGCGTAATCAATGTTATGTTTTGTCTAATTCATTCTTTCGCTGGTTCCCGGCGTCCTTCGCGTGAAACAGGGACGCCGGGGACCAGCGAAATTCATTTTTTTCAAATTCACCAGATTTATCGACGAATGCCGATGCTCAACTCGGTGAATGTCCCGATCGACCCTAAACGAAGGTTACGTCGCCTGATTACTGGTACACACAATTACGTTTATTATATTCCCAATCAAGAAATACGATCATCATTCCACAACCGATGTCACCGATGTGATCACCACATTACGTATTAACTTGTCATGTGACACTACCCTGCACAGTCAATATTGAATTCGTTATTCTTAAAACACGTATAAATTGGATTCTGAATGTTGATTCATCCCAAAGATTTATGAATTGTTAAATTCGAGTTAAGATGTGAAGTATTTCATCTTTCAAGATTAGAAGTATTGCATTGTGGGACGCCATTTATAAATCGGATGAAGGAGTCGAGAAAGAAACCGGTTCAATTTTACAAAATTACAAAAAGAAATATGAGCGACAAACAATATATCAGAAATATATGTTTGCATGCCGCTTGGTTAAAATTGCAAACTTGCCAAGGACTTTTGCAATATGCAGTCCTTCTGTTGCCCGAGCATCGCCTAGCATCAGGCTGCCATTATCTTTAATCGCAGCAATCATGGTCCAGAAGGTGATTACTAGTATTATGATTATCCGTCACGATCGGGAATAAGCGTAATCAAACACGCAATCACGGTCGTAATTGATTAATCGCAATCCTCGGGGCGGACATCCGGGCATTTTCACCGCCTGGCAACCCTCGCGGTGAAAACAAAGGCCCAAAACTCGCAGAAAACGGTACTTTGGGATGATTGTTGAGACTCCCCTGAACAGTGTAACAAGATTTGCCCTACGTGTGTAACATGTATAAATTTGGTTGTTCAGGATTACTTCAAAGTTGAGTTTGTGTTGTTTTCTCTAATTTTCACCAGCTTTTCGCTCGGCGTCCCGCGTCCCTCAGCAGCGCGCACAGAGCCCAGGGAAATGCATGTACAGTGGTGCGCGTCGTAGCAACGTGGAACGTCTTGTGACGTAGCTCCGCCCCCGGGGATAATGATTGCACAAAACAAACGCGACCTAGGACGCCCGCATGCGTCGGCTAGTCCCATACTGAGATGCCAGAGCGACGTATACGACGAGTGTACATTACATTGTTTGTTTGTTTACACTCAACCCGCAATGCGCGACGACCACCGCCCTTTAATATTTACCTTCGAACAAGAACGATGTAAGGTTTTGCCCTTTTTTTCTTGCTAAAATAATTATAGTTCATGAAACGACTCTCCGCTTTCATTTCCATAGTGACAATACACTAAACAACCTTATCTACATTATCGCAAGACACGTAATGTTTTTCTTTAATACGATTGAAATCCGACATAGATACATACTCTATTTTAACCGGTTTTTCGACATCTTATCTCATCAAAGAGGGTATAAATTGTCATCAAACATATGTGAATTGAATATTCTCAACAACAAAAAATCATTTCCCAAGAAAAATCATTTCCCTTCTCACGATTACATATCGGTAATCAATTATTATCTGACGCATTGTCGACAGCAAGAGGGCGCGGTATTCGACTTAAACTGCAATTTACAATTTAATACTGATTGTATGCCGAATTGTATTGATTACTTTAGCATTGGTCAATATTCCCTTGAAAACTTAGTCAGATTCGTGGGTAGATGTGAAAAAAAAAAAAGTTAACTGTGAATAAACTCTTGTCAGTCACTGTTAGTATCAGCGACAATAAACACTCTTTGGCCTTCTTATTCTAATTTTTATTTTAATATTTCCTACCTTTACACGGTCTTTGCACTTAAGCACTGGCAGTCACTGGCAGTTCGCAGATACTTCAATGTGTTAAATAAACCATTTATTTCAATGTAACTGGACGGGAACACTGAATACAAATTAGTTCATTTTCTCTGCCTAGAATTTCTGATGTTCAACTATGAACAGGTGTTATTCGCGACAATTGACAGACAAGTTGTCGACGAAATAGAAAAAAAATCATAGAATAATCATAGCACCTGCCGCTAGAGGGCGTGGTAAACGAGATGCACCACGACTCAAACACGTAATACTGAATTTTAGGATATTGATTAGAGTGCAATGCGCTACATGTACAAAGAACACTACAAATGAATAAAATACAACGAAATATAAAATTTAAATGCATAAATAGAGTTTATGAGGGAGGTGGTTTTCTATTTTCCTATGTTTCAGTACTCCTTCATTTACTAATGCGTTGTTTTGTGTTTTAATAGATTAATTGACCTTTACACTACTCGTTTCTACTAGTATTATTGTGTAATGTACAGGCTATAAAAATGTGTTTCGACTTCAGAAAAACCACAAGGGACAATGAAGAAAAAACAAAACATATATTCGTGCTGACAGTGGAGAGCATAACCCGCGTATTTAGTGAGGGGTTTATTCCCGCGGGTTTGAATAAATATTCAGATTTATAAATATTTGTTTATGTACATGTTTCAGTCCCGTCAATTCAATAGCATGGAGGTAATAAGAATTCTGTTGTAGCATGGAGGTAATAAGAATTTACCTCCATGGCTGTAGTAACTAAATTACCACGAAAACAAGTAACAAAGAGCATGTTTACATAACTTTGAGATAATCAATTATATAAGTAAAGGTGTTTTAGTTGAAAACAAAGCAAACATAGCAATCTCCCTTCCGAAGCCGCTAGGACGCATGCGCCCAGTAATTACCTAAGCGTACAGCAACCGCACAAGCTATACTGCTAGTTTTGTCGCCAAAATAGTTCAGTGACGGTGGCACGGGGGGCAGAGGGAGGGCGTCGCCCCTCCAAAAATCAAGCCCTTTGTGTCAGCAAAATTTTGCCCTCAAAATGCAGGAAATGGTGCTTCAGAGGGTTATGCAAAATGTCGTCACGGTGACGCCACCTTAGTTCCAAAATATGTGGCTATACTAGAGAACGCTCGCTCAGGAGTGCCGCGATGACAGAATATAACCGTGAGACAAATCGGATGCAAAAACATGGTATGGTTTAACGCTGAACTAACTTACATAATGACAGCTTAAGTGAAAAGGGGAGCCTCGAATCCCCAGCTGGCATTATATAGCTCCCATGGACTGAAAATAAATTGTTCTTATTGGTCGATCGTTATTCAGAAGAACCCTTCATACGAATATATGAAACGAAGTGACGACTCCAGCGAAATGACATACAAGAGAACAATAATGTATGTTATGAATCTCAAAGAAAATGCACAGAGTATCGTCAAATATTTGTACAGGATGTACGAAATTGACGATAAATCGCTACAGTTTCCTAACTGTAGTAGCTATTTAAAAACAGCTCTGTCAAAACTAATTTTTATTACGCGGATCAACAGGCAAAAAAAAAAAAAAAAAAAACAATTGCAGATACGGGATGAGGGTAAGTTTTAGTTCTCTCCGACTGGACGCCAACTTTTCCACATTGAATGCAGCAAGGCTGACAAGTGGGCGGTGTACTACTAGTATTTGTTTTTTCAACTTCTGAGTGTGCATCCGAGCACGAAAGTCGAAGAATCCACACTCTCCCTGACGCTGGGTGGACATGCCAACCTTAAGGCCACACATCAGATGCCCGAGCTTTGGACCATCATACGATGCGTAGACAAATGGTTTGCTATCTAATATAAAAACTTACTTGGTAAATGTTATTTTATTTATAACAGCATAGTAAATCTAACTACTAGAAATTCACTATAAAGCAGTTGAATCAGTCAATCCTATCATTGAAAACTGGAAGAAATGACTGATATCATTGATTCCGGTGCACTGTTCGGCGTGTATTTGTGTTTTTTTCTTATTCCATTTTCATGTATTCATTTATCATTTTTTTTTATTACATACATCTTTTGTCGTCCATTGAAACGAACTCTTAGTATGAAGGTCAACTGCTGAGCATGATGGGAAATAAAGGTCAACTTGCAAAATGGCGACGGTAAACTACGAGTCGCAGTTTCACGCAGCGGTGAGCGTGATCAAGAGCCTACCGAAAAATGGTGAGTTGACGAATGAAATGCCTAGTAGATTTCTTTAATTAATGCTTTATCAAACAGCAACGATTGATTCTCAAAAAAAAAACTAGTGTCACGGAAGAAAACAAGATACCTCATTGAACCATGTCGTTGTGTTATTGTGCTGTGTTGTTGAGATTACACAGTCGCCGTTCATTTCGTTGCAAAGTCCAAACTACGATGTCAACAAACTGTATGATTGCACATGTGATATCAGTTTTACTGTCCAGGCGTATTGGCTGTCGTCTACATATGATCAGACAACGTACCTCTACTTCATTTTGTTCTATTCGTGTTTAGTTTCTACACTCACGTTGTAAACACAAAAACAGGACACTGACGCAAAAACAAAAATCACCAAACCTGACAAGTCACGGTGATGGACTTCAAACTATCCCCATGTTGACCCCAGCCTTGTTGCATTTATTATTCCGATGATCTCTGTAATTAATGTTATTTTAAAACTGCCTCGGTTAGGCATATGTGATCACTGTGACATCTATGACATGTGCGCCATCCGAATGAAGCAGGTACTAAGTATCAAATCTATTTTTACTCCATTCATCATGAAGTGAGTACAACAGTCGCACAATTAAAAAAGCAATGGCCAGCTTCAGATTGATCGTATCACAGAACCAATTTTTTTTTTTCTCACACTTCAAGTGGTTATGAAATAAATAACATCCAGTCAGCTAGATAAAAAATCATAATGCACAACTGAAAAATCATGAAATAAGACGTTTCCATTTTTAGTAGTCATCAAAAAACAGAAACTAAAAAAGAAGGTTGCCTGCAGCTTCTAAGTTTCTGTGCAGTCTGACATCATTTGCGTACTCTTGATTTGAGATTTACTGATTTTGAGAAATGCATATGCAAGTTCCTCGTAATTTTCTAATAGTCATTCTTATGTTTGTCGCACAAAATGCTTGTTTATCTTTTTGTTCTCAGCATAAGTGTACAAGCTGTCAACATGCTTTAAAATATTAAATATTCTCTGGGTTTTAATGTTATTGCTTATTATTTGCTCTAAATTAAAACCAAAAAGTATGAAAAATTGTGCCTTGAACCAGGGGTTTTTCTAGAAAAAAACTGCAATTCAGCGGAGCCACCAAGTGGGGGGGAATAGGGTTCTCCCTACCAGGGTGTGGAGTTTTTGAAAATTCTAAGTTAAAATGGAGCATTCTATGGCTTCCTTGGGCCAAAATTATTATCAGACAGGTCACAGTTGAAGACTGTGGCCACATGTGATCCCTGGTCAATCAGAATTTTATGGTTGTCCAAGTGCATCTGCTCCCAAGGGTAAGGTGGCGCATGACCATGGCATGAGGGCGCTGCACCCCTGTTCCCTTGTTTAAAAAACGTCCCTGCTTAAACTACTCTAATAAACCAGTTTTTGTTCACTGTAAGATTCAACGTTATGTGTGAAATTGAACAATAAAACGAAGGTCATAGCATAATAGTTACGCCAAAACAAACATGTTTTTGGGGAATTCCCAATAATGTGCTATACACGTTTGATGGTGGTCAATTTTGATGAAGTAAGGATATCTCAAAGTCATATTCATTTCTGAAAGATCGGTATTTTGACATTATACTATAAAAAAAAAAGGAATTCAGGTTTAAAATTCATCATGCGACTTTCATGTATTACGCAAGTATCTCACAGTGAATAAGAATATCACATATTGTTGTTGTAATAAAACAGGAAATTACAAACTCAACAAATTGCGCTAACATTTATGCTTCAAACAATAGTGAAATGCCTACCCTGTGAATATTGTTACTGTTGGTGTCCGAGTATGGAAAAAACACCAGCAATGTGTGAAATTACTTAACCTTTTCACCGTAAGATTTTCCCGCCCAAATTTTTCTGCGCTTTTTTTTTATATTCTTCAATATTTCTGGAAATGAACTCTAATTTTGAAGCCAACAGACAAAATTTGAGTCAATTTTCAGTTTTTACTCAAAAAATTTGGTTATTTTTTTCCCAATCTTCTGAAGGAAAGTGCAGACTATTTTGTGATGGTAAGAGGGAACTGGTGGTGAAATCACTTAATCTTTGTTGATTCTTCCTGTGTTTCTTTTCTGTTTTAATTTCTGCATGTTAAAGCCTCCTGCACCTTCCTTTTTTCTGTTCTCATTTTTCATTCCGCTTCTGGCTTTGGCTTATCCTTGCCCTTGTCTTGGTGCGTGTGTGTATAAACTGGATACTGATTCTAGCTCGTCGTAAAATGCTTCTGACAGGGCCGTTCCAGCCGTCGTACGAGATGATGAAGAAGTTCTATGGTCTTTACAAACAAGCCACAGAAGGGCAGTGTACAAAGCCTAAACCAGCATTCTGGGATATTATAGGACGACAGAAGTGGTAAGTACAATTTATCAGCCATAATATTGACATAGAATAGTCTTGCCAATCAAAACAATACTATTTGTTTGGTTGTCGTTACTGTAATGTGTTACTCAGCAAATTTACTTGCTGGATTAAAATCAGATTAAGCTAAAAATGAAATATAATCATCATGTTTTTAGTCATTGCTCACAACAGTTACAAAATGTGGGCAGCCTTTTTTTTTGTCAAAATTTTAAAAAAAATGAAAGGAAATTTTTTTGTTCAATCCTAAATTTGATGACCCTTTCAAAATAAAAACTGTCTGTACGCATCGCATCGACTTAGAAAAATTGATTAGAAATATTGTGTTTGGCCTTAAAGCGAGGTGCGCATGCGTCAGATATCCATAGTGTGTCAATGTTTACCAACAAGCGTCTACCCATGAGTCTTTGCGTGTTGTTATCGTCGCTTGGGATTCAATTCCCATGCGTGTGCAGGTGACGACCCTCCCGCTTTTATAGTGTGAACAATATAAAAACTCCAATTCATATCTACATGTATTTTGCTTGTTCACAGGGATGCTTGGTCCAACCTGGGAGATATGTCAAAACAAGAGGCAATGTCCTGCTATGTAAATGAGCTAAAAAAGGTAATTTTAGTATTACTTTCTATAGTGTCTTTTAAAATACAAGAAATTTGTATTCTATTCATAACAGACAAAGAATGTTGCTGATGAATGGACATGATTATGTTTGAGGCAAATTTGCTTCTCTTTCAATCCTTTGGGTGCCTTTTTTTGGCGCCATCTTCAAAATTATTTTGTATATTCTGCTTCTCTCCACATGAAATGTTGATAAAACTGACAAACCGTTCGATCAAAAACAAAGCAATATTTGAAACTGTCTGTATGATACAAAATAGTGATAAAATTTAGTGAATATTTTACAAAATGTGAAAAAATTTGCGCTGCAATTTAAGTGGTTAAAATATGATGATGGGTACAAACATTATTATTCAGAAAAGAATTTCTTGTCAAATGGGAACGAATTTGATTGTAAAATACCCTAATATTGTTTGTACATCATGTATATGATTGTCCATAATATGAAGTTATAATGAGGTTACTGAAAAGTATGCTTGAAGACAGTACAGCGGCAGTATTGACTGACGCGCAACGGTGGTCGATG